TCAGTATTTTTTAAGATGATTTTTTCAAAAGTCTTCACTTTTGCGAAGTCCCAAAATACAGAAACGCCTCGAACACTAACCAAATTATCGGATTTTGAAGCTTTTGAAAATCGATCACGACTATTCACTATTTTTACATAGCGACTGAGCGTTTACAGCTTCGAAATATAAGATTTCACATTGTACGGTATACGCTGGGGCGGGGTCAAATTCAAAAATTATGGACATTTTATCGCTAAAGACCCCACAAATTGGAGGGAAAAAACACTCACTGGAAAGAGGAGGAAAAGCTGCATCGAATAACACCTTAATTGTGCGCCGTTTCATGATGTCTGGCTTTTGGCATCACCAAAAGTGGAATTTGATAGCATCAGAAAAATAATTCTAAAAAATTTTTAAGGCTAGCTATAGATGCCGCAAAACTGCATTATATTGCCCTTTGTTTGCTCTATCTAAGTTTTACAGAGCTTTTCCGAAAGTCAAAAATGAAGATGGTGAAAAATTGCCAAACTTAATCATAGTAAAAACCATGGGTTCGATTTCGACGTTTATCTCAGTGACCATAAGAGTAATCAGCATGTGACCATGACAGTTAGAAAGAGGAGGAAAAGATGCGTCGGGTTCTTGAAGCGTTTCTCTATCTTCGTTCCACGTGTTTCTAATAGAGGTTGAAAAAACGGACAAAACTTTTGGGACAACCTAATATAACAATGATGTCATTTCTACCTGGACAGGGTGCAAACGGAATGGATACAAGACACAGCCTGTCACTCCCACCCCCTGCTTTTATAGCAGGGAAGCTGGGCAAACAACTGTATCGGGAGGTCTTGCCGGAGAGGTCGCCATTTCGGCGACACTCTCCGGGGCGACGAGAAAATATAGCAATATGAGATTCAGTCATGAAATAAAAAGAAGCAGAGAGAATAAACGTGCAAACATGAGGATAAACGTACAAAACATACTATCAAAATTTTCTTCTTTTGTGCTGCAGATTTTTCGGAGTGTGCCGAAACCCGCGTAGCGGGAACAACAAGGTGTTGTGCGACTTTCGGCAGTGGTAGCAGGCGTCGCATGGCTCGTTGTGGCTCCTGCGGAAACACCGATCACAGAGGCCCAGGCGCGAAGTTTGGACCGCACGTGACACGGGGTCAGCATACTTAAGGCAGCGGCCTGACGGATGGTTACCTTCGCCCTCGGGGCAGAATATCCAGTTTGTCCACAAAGATCTGGGTGCGTCTCTGCTCTCCCCGATAAGTTTAATTCCTCCACTGATCAGGTCTGCAACATTATAAAGCTCATCGAGCTGTTTGGTCTTATTTCCGCTGGTAGAGACCCCTTCGGAGTGACCTCTGTATTTTTCCACCAAAGTACCCAAGGATTTAGCACTGTATATCGTTTTTTCTGTAATGTGAATGCCATTACCACTGTTCGCTTTTCTTTTTCGACTTAAGTGCTTTGCTTTCGCTTGTAACTTACAGTTTACTTTATTGTAACGTATGTGTTGCCAGGTATGATAGCCTGGGCTTTTTGCTGCTAGGTATGATCTCTTAGTCTTTATTGCCAGAGGATGCTGGACTTGTGCTAGGATGATGGCACCTACACTTTTTTCGAATCAATAAAGAATCTCGACAAAAGGATTGCCGATGCACCAAAATGTGCCGAGGTGGTTCAGACTTTGAGAAAAATGAGTTTATTCGGAAATATAACAATGATGTCCTTTTTAGCCGGACAGAGTGCAAAAAGAATGGATACAAGGCACAGCCTATCACTCCCAGCCCCCTGCTTTTTTAGCAGGAAAGCTGGGCAAACAACTCTATCGGGAGGTCTTGCCGGAGAGGTCGCCATTTTGGCGACAGTGGTGGCACTTACCATTGCCAGGTCCCAGTGGATTAACGGGAGTTTTGAAGTCTTCAGCGCACCTTAATGTCGTGTCAAACAGTGAATCTTCAAAAGTGTTATATATCATTTTTCCCTAGATACGTTTGTTCTAAAACGAAACAGAAACACTTCACAGAATCGTAAGAGATGATCAAGAATGTGCTGCAACGAAAGAAGAGAATAAGGAAAGTGTGATACAGCATATAGGACGAGAGGTTGCGGAACATGTGGTCGTCAACGCCATAGGATCGCGTGACTTAGGCCTAAGGCATACCTCCAGCGACCCCGTCGTTACGATTTTCGATCGTTGCGACTAGACTGCCTGGGCGACCGTTCGTTGCTTGAAAATTGCTCATCGCTTGATCGCCGGACATACCCAAAGCAATTTCGTAGACGCTCACACACCACAGCATTCTACGAACTTTAAAAAAATTTGCACTAATTGTCTAGAGTGCATTTAATCAAGAAAGCTTGAACAGAATATGGCGCCATATGCTTTCAGAGAACATTACATCAAACGAGAAAGGATATGTCCACACTTATCCTAGTAATTTACCAACGTTTTTCTACCGGCGCAAGAACATCTGCGATAAAATCGACTACAATTTATAAAGTAGTTCACTCTTTCAGTCACCAGTAGGCATATGTTAGCTTCGTAACAGAAAAGCCATGCTTTCGGCTCTGTAAAAAACTTTGAGTAAGCACATGCAAACGGCGAGTGCTGCGCGAGCTCTTGCCTGCCAATCTGCGAACGATTAAACAAATATGCTATCTATTCTACTTCAGAAAGCGAGAACATTCGAGATTTGGTCGCCGTTTACATGTTATTAATAAACAAGAACAATAGAATATAGTGCATTGCGAGAACAATAACTGCTAACACAGTGAGTGGTGACATATGGGAAGCACTCCACACTATACTTCGCATGTGTTGTTTTCAAGGATTTATAGTATGGAATGTTAGATGACCTACCTTCTCTCATGCAGAAAGGAAGCGCTTGTATGAAATGAAATGGTCCTCAATGAGATTCGCATCTGCAAAAAAAAAACAAAACATCTCACCAAGAAGCCATCCGAGCCATTCGCCCATCGCTGGGTCGGAACTAGCGACGGCGACATCGCTGAGTTTCAACGAAGTCGCAACGATTTCCCTGCCGGGAGTATGCACGTCCAAAAATGGTCCGCGATTCGTCGCAGCGTCCACCCACAGACGCGGCCGGACCACGCTGTTGGAAGCCCGTTCGCTGCGGACTCGGTACATATGTCCGAGTTGGAAATTGCGACGCGAATGGGATCGCGGGAGTTATGCCTTAGGTCTAAGGGCTATGACATACCTCACGCGATTCGGTCATATCGCCACCTTCCCGCGACTTGGCAATTTGCCAGATTCCTACAAATCTATCGTGCGTGCTTCTCGAATGCATGTTCGGGCAACTTTTGTAAGCTGTCGCAGACGGATCAAGTTCTGACCAAAAGGAACGCATTGACGACGAATTACAAAGAGCCGCTATTGCGCCAAATCGCGCAGAGGCCGGAATCGCGCGAGGTATGCCTTAGGCCTAAAACGATGGATACAAGGAATTTCATCCTCGCACTGCTCAAAGGAGAAGTTCTAAAACGTGTCAAGTTTTTGCGCTGTGTCACGCCAGCTTTCGCGAACCAACCGTCCCCTAATGTCCGTACAGACAACTGCAAAGACTAGTTTCAGACGAAGGGGACTGCCGATGTAAGCGATGCGTGTGAGGATGTACGAGCTGCAATGATGAAAGATGCTCGAACGTGGCCTACACGTTTTGCAAAGTAAACCGACCGCCTTCGTCAGGGACAAGCCTTTAGCGGTTCAAACCATGTTGCGGAATTGCTGTGGGGTGAGCTGAGTTGGCGCGCATGAAAATGTCCGTCAAGGTTTCTATACCTTTTTTATCAAGGACATTTCTGCTTGAAATTTGTCAGGTCTGTTTAAGGCTTGGGGAGTTAGGTTGGTGAATACCTAGCTAAACCAATACCCTCGCTTGAACCGCTCCGTATCCTTGAGCGATAGCAGTCCCCACTGCTATTCACCTGGCATTCCAATTATAGTCGTATGATTTACTCGCATTTGAATGCATCTTTTTTCGGCTGTGGGTACACTATCCCGTACCTTCTTTTGCTTAAACTCATTGAAGTACGAGCTTTCTTTGTTGTTCTTCGAATGTCTAGGACGACTGGCCCCACACTAACAGTTTTATACTACAAATGGTACACCTTGAGTGTAAAGATAAAGATAAAAGATAAAGATATATGGTACCACTCAACACAGAACAAGCTACATAATAACAGTGAATATGTCTATGTTTACGATATTTATGTCTTGAAAACTCGTTTCACAAAACACGCTTACATAAGTTCATGCATGCTGAAATAAAAAATGGTATTTCTCTGGTGAGCCTGATATAATGAAACTGTCGATTTGAGATATTGAGACATCCATCCTTTTCGAACGGTAGTGGCACAACAGTCGCTAGTATAGTTTACAATCCCTCATAGAACATAGCGCGATCACGACTTCTCGTATCTGAGTCTTCTATACCACTGACGTTAAACATCTTTTGCAAACCCATGCTCTGTCTCCTACGATGCTTCCACTTCTATACCGAATGCAAATAGACCGCTGGGATGGAGAACACATAATCCGCACTTCTACCCTTTCGTATTCAAGATGCCTTGATATCTTGCTATGCTAAGATATCTTGCTCTTCAACGTCACTGTTGATTCTGCTGAATAAAAACATAATACGCGTAATTTTCCGACGAGATGCTTTTAGGACACTGCAATGAAGTCGCTCTTCGCGTATGTCTAGACAAAAACTTGACAATGATGCGAACCGCGAATCCATCTCATATTTTGTTTGAAAAAGATGGTCTGGTTTGCTGTACTTCTTGAAAACAATTGAGACTGAAAAACACAAAAGATGTATAAATCCATCCCTAATGCGACCTGTGCATATAAACAAGGTACAGCAGCTAAACAGTTATACTGTTTTCCAGTGTTTTCGTGTATGCAAACTAGGATGTGCATTTTAGAACCAAATACCTTATTAAAATATTGTATATGTCCAACATGCACATATATAACAAAAATGTATTTCAACAAAAACAATAAGCTTAAACAGCTTCTTCCTTGGTGATCTTGACTGGCTTTCCTCCCCGGATTCTTCCAGTACGACGGGCAGCGATAAGACCAACCTAGATGATGTTACGTGAACTTGTAAAAGTCAAAACAATAGGAAATTCAAGAATGGATAACCAGTTGCCACAAAAGGCATTTGATTACCTTCTTTCCTGCACTTGCGTCTCGCCTGACGGTGGAAGGATGACCAATGTGTTGATGGTTACCACCTCCGTGGGGATGCTCAACGGGGTTCATGGCCACACCTCTGACTCTTGGCCAGCTGTTTCTCTTGGCCTTATACTTGTGGTATGCACGACCAGCCTTCAACATAGGCTTATCGGTACGTCCACCTCCAGCAACCAATCCTGGAAAAATTCTCGTAAGATTAGAAGATAAGCCACAGCTTAAAAAAGCTACTTCAGTTCAACAGAAAAAAAAACACAAGGAAAGTAACAGATTTGATTGACCAACCAATCATAGCACGGTTGGCAGACTGGATGACCTTCTTAGCACCAGATGGGAGACGAATACGAGTTTTCTTAGTTTCGGGGTTGTGAGCGATAACAGTGGCATAGTTTCCTATAAAATATCACTCAGCAATTGTTCAGTGAGCGCAAAACCCAGCTTATTCTTGGCAATAGTGTCAATAAAGTGAAAAGAAAACAGATGAAAATCACAAAAAATGTATGAAGCACACAAGTCAACGTACCGGAACACTTGGCCAACTTTCCTCGGTCACCGCACTTTCCTTCAACATTGCAGATAGTGGTTCCTTCGGGAAGAGAACCAACAGGAACGATGTTTCCGACTTGTACGCTTGCTGGAAGGTATTACAGCATGAGAGGACTCAATATGAAAAGGAGAGACAAGGTCACTTTCAAGCTGAAAGTGAAGAAGCATTTTAAAAAGTGAATGCTAACTTTTTTTCACTAATCACAAAAAATGATATGTTTAGATATTTCGAGAGAAGTGATATGCTTCTATGGTAAACTTGATCGCTCATGACGGTCAAATTTTATTCACCAAAAAACTAAAGTTACGTTGAAAAAGATAGGTATATGAACAAAATACTTATGCTAATTTTGTGGTAACCTTGTTTAGATGTTTTCGTTTGTAAACGATTGAAATAATTCTTGGAGAATCATAACTCGGTGAAAAGGTTTTCGAGAACGCGGCTGTCGCAACTTACCTTTTTTGACAAGCAAAAACCGAATAAATGCTTCATTCATAGAGAAAACATAAACATCCCCAAAACATTCAGATAAGCAAAAAGCAGAGCATATCATCTATAAGAAAAAAGGAACTGGACCAAATAAAGCACTAACCCTTAGATCCACAGTAGACAAACTGTCCGGTGTACATTCCTTCAGCAGCAACAACTGTACTCTTGACGGTCTTGTACTTGTAGGGGTCTCGGAAAGCAATGATAGCCAGAGGTGCACCACGTCCAGGATCGTGAATGATGTCCTTTACGACACCACGGATGTAACCGTGACGTTCAGCATAATCAAGGGGCCTCAACTGAGCGGCTCCCTTACGATGCTTGTTGTGCGATTTGAAGATACCTCCAGCTCCTTTACGCTGGACACGGATCCGACGACCCATTGTTTGAAACCCTACAATAATTGAGGAAGTAAAAAAGTGCAGCGATGTACAATGCGTTGAAATTGCGAGGTGGCACCAGGAAAAAAAGAAAGGTACAAAATGAGCTTACAAAATGTTGAATGTTACAAAGATATCATCTTCAAACTCTTTACTTCATTTCAAGCGTGTTCTCCTATTCGTTCCCGAAAATTCTGCCATTTGGAAATGGTTTGAAAGGAATTAAAGATCATTTACTGTTACGTTCAAACGTAAAAACCTTTGTCGGCTAAAAAAACAAATACGCATAAAAACTGAAGTGGAATTTGCGTTATAACTTTCGCGAAGCGATCAAAATTAGGATGAATTATGCACAGCAAAATCAAACCGCGGAGTAATGAAAAAAGCAGAAAACTCAGCTCTCAAACTAAACTAGAGAAGGAGCAGAAGTCCGTGAGTAGAATGTAGAGGCAAAACATCAGAGGTTCTCCTTAAATCTCACAGCACAATTCTGCTCCGCAGATTTGCGATTACAATGGTCAAAAGGCCAAAAGTACCAAAGTTCCAGTATATTCCACATGTCTAAAGTTAAAACCAAAAAGTCTCATCAGAAAGAAGTCCATCATAGGCTGAAAATGAAAAATGTTCAAAAATTTGCTGCTTTTCTCTGCGATGGCGAACGAACTGATACTCCGTTAACCTGATTTTCAAGGCGGGCGCGCGCGTGGCGTCAGTTCGCTGTTTTAGCTATAGGTCGCAGAATCCAGAGGGATGTCAAATGCAAGCACTTTTCCAAAATTCAAGAGAAGTTCTTACCCATAAAACGAATAGTGGAAGGGTTATTAATGATGGTGATTATGTTTATTATTATAGCAAACTTTGCAGATTTAGTAGGATATTTTCATTAGCTTTGTCATAAAGTTGTGAAAATAATGAGGAAACTGGAAACTGGATTTCTTTCTTCAGATTCAAGAAAGCAAGTTTTGTAGCCATTTGGGCATGCGGATTACCAATTTTGGTTGTGATACTATTGTTTTTTGAAGAATGATATTCTCAGCAGTATTGAGATTGATAAAAGACATTGCGATACGGTAACGAATTACTCCTTGTCAGCCAATAGAGTAGAACAAATTGTGTCTACCAATGTTCTTCACTGCTCTGCCCCCCCCCCTACTCTTGCCAGTTGTCCTTTTCAGGGTTCTTTTAAAGTACAATGGAACTCTCCCAGAAGTCCAGCAGAAGAGGGAGCCCTGAGGGGAAAATCGATAGATGCAAGCAGTAGACGTTGCGCGGCTCTCTTGCTATGTTCCCCTATATGGACTTTTAACTAGGATCGAAATTTTGGTTTTAATGACCAATTTTGAGGGATAATTTAGTGAAGCAAATATGAAGAAAACTCTCAAACTCGCAATAACAAAATTTCTATTCTTCCGCGTCAAAGGACCCTGATATTTCCGATAATTTTGCTCCCTTGAGTTTGGGCTCTTCTTTCTGCGCAAATCCCTGAAACATAACATTCAAGCAATGCTTTTCTCGTATTTTCTCGCTTTCCCATCTCATTACTCAAGCCTTCCCTCCTCTCAGAATAAATGAAAACTCATGTTTTCTTGCGGCTTGAACAATGCCAGATGTCCTCATCCAAAGATCCAAAGATCCAAACATTCATCGCTGATTGCTTCCATCCACATCCTTCCATGGTTATAAGAAATTTGGATTCAGAGATCTTTGAGCACTTACAATGATCCATGAATTGTACGAACTTGTAAGCAATGTTCTCTACTTCTGCTAGATATCGAGTTACTGTTTTTAAGGACTCACTCCACGTTTTTTTTATTCATCATGTTTGGGTAACCTTTGATATGAAAAAAGCAATATCGAATTTTTAGCTAGCACGCTACTATGCTGAAAAAGTTGCTTTTACTCATTGTCAACCCGCATCATTTTTATGATTGTAAGCCTGTCATTCCTCAAATTTCCCATTCCAATGTTCTTTTGATTTTGCACGCCTTTTTTTACTTCAGAATTCATTTCTTGATTTTTCGCATTATCTAAAAATTTTATTATGTATTTATGCTTCTATCCAACATCTTTGTCTTATCCTTGGATTTTTGCAGATTCAAAAGCTATCATTTCAAGCACAATTTTCTTATTTATAGAAAATGTCCACGAAAGAATATTTTGTCCCATCCGAAGAGGTTATGACCTCTATAGTCCTCCCAACCATTGTGTTTTGCATCGGAATGGTCGTTGCTATGCTCGTCGGCATCAATAAATGCAAACAATGGGAGCTTGACAAAATCGTGGAAATGCGACGAACGAGACGAGTTGTACAAAGGATAACGGCTAGATTGAGGGAGAAGAACTTCAAAACTATACAAAGTATGACTATTGATTTTATCGACTTTTTGTTGGTCAGATAATGCTGCGTACAGATGCGCGTAACATACGGAAACGTGCGGCGGCTGCGAAAGCGGCAGCGGAGAAGAAACTGAAGACTGAGGTAGCACCACCAGTGTATTCATCGCAACAGCAGGCTGTGTGAGTTATTTTCATTGAAATTCTGTACTAAAATTTTTGGGTCCATTTTTCATATGAAAATCAATATCATCGCTTTTTAGTCCCTTCTCAGATAGAGATAACGTTTGCAGTTATGCCTACTAGTGATTTGTCATTATATCTGAGTCTGTACACTATGCGCGGCAATCGACGACACCTTTTGTAATAACTCCCTCAGCAACTCTATGGTGACAAATTGTAAATATGTGTACTACTAGCTAATTCATATCCACTCAAATTAAAAGAGACAAAAACATGCAGGATTCTTTGGAAATGAGCGGTTCTCTATCTTACAAGTCGTCAGCTAGCACGCATGGTGTGTAATACACAGATTTTGCCAAATAACGCGCATGGTGTACAATACGCGTGCTAAGTTACAAATGACTTGACAAATCATACAAGATGATTGGCCAACTGAACGAAGTCTTTTTTTCATAAAAAAGAACAAAATGTTGAACAGCCAATCGAAAATTTTATTTTCAAAGGAAGTGTTTACCTTTTTAACTCATTCTTTATGTTTTCTCTGTTGTAAATCAAATTGATACTTTCATATTAATCTCATATAACTACAAGTCAGCAGCATCCTGTTCACATTATCTCTACAAAACGAGCGTCTACCCCGGAACCGCAGTGCCGCAGCGAGCGTGCATACGCATTGTTCGGGCTATGACTTACCTATAAGCAGAAAACCCTAAAATGTTCATATTTACAAGAAAAAAACTCCCGCGACTTTTTTCTAAGTGAACGGAATATCAAGATTTCATTTCTCCATCTCTGTGAATTCATATTCAATGTATGAAAGTCTTTCCGCCTGTTTAGATGTGGAACATCACCACCGCCATCTTACGAGGACGCTCTACTAGACGAATATTACTACGAGTGCCTACCATCTTCTAGCAGGTACTTCCTTCTTCTACTTTGACAGTTTGAGTCTGATCTGATTCAATCAATATTAGGACCGTACATCCACCTACGACTAGCAGAAGAAGATCTTCAACACAGTCTCACACTTCCCGTCGAACGGTCCGTTCTACGCGAAGGACGTCAAGGACCAACCGAATTTTGGATGTTTGAAGAGGAGGGAATAGATCAAAATTTAGGGTTTATTTTTTGATTTACTTAAGTATGAAATAACCGTATATTTGTCTCGCTGAAGTTGGCAGACTGATTCACAGACAATTTTTTGAATTTCTAAAATTCTGATTTTTTGTTTCCGTTGGTATTTTCTGTACTCAAGCCCTTTGGTCTTGTTTCCTTGCCGTAGCAGATAATTCATGAAGTTAAATTATGAATTAATTAGACCCTCAGGGGAGGGGCGATATCAGTCGGTGTCTACCAATCAGCGTTCTTTTGCAACGCGTTCGTCATTGGCTGATTCTGTGCTATGCATGCTTATGCGTATTTAGTATACGCTTGATATAATGTGATAATGTGATCTCAATAACCCGTTTGTCCGTATTATTTCATTTTTGAGCCTTTGATTGTTCAATATACTATGCATAATATTGATAAAGCTGCATAAATTTTTCATGATTTATTTACAAAATATGAACATTTAATATATCCCAGGTAGTATTCGAAACGGCACTTTATTACAATGTTGTATCCATGATTGGCCATATTTCGCCAAACACCGTGTCTCATCGTTCATTAGTCGAACAAAGAGAAATACTAAATTAATTGATTTGTCAAACGAAATAATTTTCACAATCAGAAATTGTATTTACCTGCGATGAAAATGGCCGGTAAATGGCAGGCAAGCGTTGCAGGACCTTGAAATGCCGAGAATACGGCAAATGTGACAGCTTCACAAATGTAGTTCGGATGGCGACTTATCGACCAGTAGCCGCTCCCTATAGGGAAAAATGTCGTGGAAAGCATTTTCTCAGTACAATATGGAAAAACTGTTTGAGTGAGAAATTATTGAGAAGAATTTTGCAAGGAGCTAACGAATTTACAAAAAAGCTACATTACCCATGGGATGGCATTAGAACCAAGTGTTAATGGGCTTCATCAGTTTTGTATAACAGTTCAAATACAGTTGAACTGAAGAGCAGAGAGCACTAAACGACGGGCATTTGGTATTTGTGTCGTGTAAGCAAAATATTAGGTTGATGTCGCACTATTTCAAAAAATCATAACTTCTTTCCTCAAAACGATTATGCGCAGTTCAAATTTTCGGAAAGCGTAAAGCATGCAGTTTCCAAAAATTCCTTGGGCACCGCCAACCTCGGATTGCAGAGATAAAAATGAAAGAATGAGATCATTCGAAATGCGGAATTTTTAAGCAAAACTTCTAAAAATCTAGAAACTGTGCGATGAAATCTACAACAGCCATCATCCTAAGTTTTCTTATATTTTATTAATAAGTGAGTCAAGTTTGTGCTGATCGAGCCCTTCTTTCAAAAGTTATGATTTTTTGAAAAAAAATGCCGAAAAATCAATTTCCTACGAATTCTTAAGAAATCGATTTTTCGGCATTTTAATCAAAAAATCATGACTTTTGAAAGAAGACCTCGATCAGCACAAACTTGACTCAGTTATTAATAAAATGTAAGAAAACTTAGGATGATGGCTGTTCTGGATTTTATCGCACAGTTTCTAGATTTTTAGAATTTTTGCTCAAAAATTTCACATTGCGAACGATCTCATTCTTTCATTTTTATCTCTGCAACCTGAGTGTGGAAGGTGCCCAAGGAATTTTTGGAAACTGCATGCTTTACGCTTTCCGAAAAAATTTGAACTGCGCATAATCGTTTTGAGGAAAAGAAGTTATGATTTTTTGAAATAGTGCGACAGAACTTTCGGTTCAACCCAATATAATCGCACGTTCGGGAACTTCGCAGTGAAGATGTTTATTTCCCAATTCTTTCTCAATTGCAACTAGCACCTTGCAGTTTTCAGATTCTTCTCATAGTTATATGTTGGTGTCTAATCTTGTAAATCTAGTACGTGACACCAAATGCCAAACGCCCGACATTTAGTCTGCGGCTTTCTTTTAAATGATTATTCTATTAATCATTGCAGTTGAAATTTTTTTTGTAAAATCAACTGATCTTTGCTAGAACATTTCAATCCCTAAAACATCTTTTCTAACTAATCCCTTATCCATCGCTCAAAAGATTTACATCCCATTTTTTTGGGACCTAAACCCATTCCCATTCCCACACTTTTGCAAGTAAACAACCCCTGTCACATTATTATAAGAGCAAGGCCATTCATTTACACAGTAATGTTACTTGTGTGAAAATGTGAGTTCTAGAAAACAGCTGTGAAAGTGTAAAAGGACAGTCCAAAGAGATGTCGCTTTGTGCTTAAGTTTATGGCATTTCCTTGTTCTTTTTTTCAGCATATCATAAGGTTAGAGTGAGTGGGACAGATTCCCAAAAAATAAGTTTTAAGAATTTTTCCGCCGAATTTATCAGGGAATCCTTTTCACATCCCAACCAAGCCTCTCCAGCATCGACGGCCAAAAAAAGGTTTTTTTCTTGAGAGAGCAAAGAGGGTGAAGGGGGGAGGGGGAGAGAAGTAGAGGTTCTTCCCAAATAAGGAGCGTTGACCTTGACCTAGCTTTAATCCTTGGGAAGAATTTCAAGAAGTGCCTCGATTTCAGGCTTACGACACGAAAATTTTTTTCAAAAAGGAAAGTATGTGGAGCTATGCCGTAAAAATTGCATTACTCCCCCTCCCCATAGGCGCTTCTTCTGGTCTTTCGTAAAAAATTACTATAACCAAACTAACCCAATAACAAATTTGCGGCTGTGTCACCATTATCATTCTTGTATTTGGCAGTAATGAAGAACGGATCAACTCCATGAATTTTGATATCGCCTTTGGATCTTCTGAAAATTTCCAAAATTAGAAATATTGGCACAAGGCCAAAAATTATACCTGAATTCATATTTTTGATGGTCAATAATGGTAGTCATAACAATTAAAACTACTGCTGCTATTGACAGAAAACCACTAGTTATAATAGAAATGGATCTTTGGGTTTGGGCAATGATAGCTATCGGTGAGCAATAGAGTATGGGAAATAGCACCTAAATATGAAATTTCTGTTTCAAGAAATTTTGGGAAGATAAATTTGCCAAAAATTGCTTACCATATCACTCCATAATTTGTAAAAACCACAATTTGCACATCTATAGTCGAGCGAATTTAGCGCCAAATATTCAGTCCAATGGTATTTAATTATATAAACCATTTGCACGATACTGCATCCCAGCAACCCCCCTAAAAATCCACATGATGGCTACAGTAATCCATCTACAGTAATCCTCGACTCACTCGTAATCTTGCCATACATATTCCTTTGATAATAAACTGCCGAAATGATAAATAGTGGCCATAAGACGAACGTAATACGAGAACGAACAAAATGCTTCACATCAATATCAAGAATTATTGGATGTAGTTCTACACCAAAGCAGAACTCGGAGATCGTGGTAACTAAAATATGTTCACAATAGAGTTTGGAGAATCAAAGAACTACAATAGTTAGTCTAGGAATAAAATGATCGTATAAAAATATGGTGGTATAAAATTGTAGGAACCATTTTATCTATTTGATGGAAATTTCAGTGAAAATAGGGTTTGAAGGGGGAACTTATAAGAATAGCTGCTGAGGAATCGCGGTTTCCTAGATAAACCTCTATTTTTATCAAGCTATCTAATTTCAAGATATTTTCGCGGGAAAGGCTGTGAAAGTATTTTTTGTGAGTAATAAAATTAGTCGAGAAGTAGACAACAGTTTGAAAATCAAATTTCTTTATTATTTTTATTATTTATGAGTATTTTAATATCAAATTATTTCTGTAGGAAATAAATAAACGGTGAAAATAATGTTTGGCGCTGGTTGTTGAGGAGTTATAAGCCGTATCTCCGCGATTTCGAGCACCCGTCGATAGCTCAGTTGGTAGAGCGGAGGACTGTAGAGTCGCAGCTATCCTTAGGTCGCTGGTTCGAATCCGGCTCGACGGATTGTTTTGCAAAAATTGTCAAAAACTCTCAATAGTGCTGGGATAATGGAAATTATCGAGCTAAGTTGCATTTTTTGAATAATCTGTTATCTCCCATTAATGTGAAGAACTGAAATATATACTATAGAGATAAAAAACAGATTATTCATTACAGTTATAAACCCCTCAAAAAAGATAAATGAAAACCGGTGTTGTTTAGGCAGACAGGTAAGAGAAAAAGAAGTTTGCATGATTTTCAGGGAAAAAAGACGGTATAATGAAAAGGGGTAATCAAGTTCACACTAAACAAAATTGAATTTTCTCGTTCTTTCGTCCAGATATCCTAATATAAGCTATGTTTGGAGTGCGGATAAGTACTGATTAAGTATTGGCTTACCATTATAGTAGTCACCATATCGATAAGAGATCAGCATAAAAGTAAAAGTTGCAATGCAGACGATTGCTAGACACATTATGATGGAAGAAAAGTGAATAAATACAAGATCATGTCGGTACATTCCTAGGCCACTGCCCATCACATAAAGTAAACATAGTAGTAGGCAAGAACTAAAGCTGTTCACGGATTTCCGCGTGTTTCCTAAAAAAGAGACCAGTAAGCAAGTGATAGATAAAAAAAACTAGTGGAAAACTCACCGCCTGACTTTATCAGTACTACAGTATCTTGTGGTAAAACCCAATGAAATATTAGTTGTAGGGAGAAAAACACTAGTATGAACTTCCAAGCCACTACGTCAAACAGCGGCGGTAGTAAAGTTATTAGGAATTGTCTTGACAAAAGAGCTGATATTGCCTAAAAATCACAAGTATTCACATGGTGGGCACTAAGGTTCTTGATAATTTTTCAAAATTCTCAGTTATTCATTTTTTTGAACAATATTGCACAAATAGAGCTACGTGGCAAAAAATGAAGCACTTTACAGATGTTTTCTTTTGCGCTCACAATCAACCAACAATGAAGATTGTTGCTATTTACTCTGTTTTTCAAATTCAAGTAGCTCAAAAATGAAAACTTGAATTTCTTGTTGTCTTTCTGTAGAACAGTCTACCAGGAACCTTCAATATTTGTGCTAAAAATGGCAGCATGTTGCTGTATATTATATTATATTATTTATATTATATTATTTATATTTATTGCTGTATATTATATTATATTATATTATTTCATTATATTCAGCTTTTGAAGGGAAGTTACATAGGAGAGAATCTTTTGAATATTTCTTGAAAAAATACATGCTTGGGCTCGAAAGGATGAAAATGAAAGTTATGAAGTTGATCAAAATTAGGAAGCACTGAAGAAAAGCTTTGCATGCAGAATCCTCTTATCGAAAAACTCTGCTAAAAAACTGATGCAAACGCATCCTGAAAGAGACTTTTCATAGGTTTGAGTAGGTCCGTCTGAATTTAAAACTTTCACGATCTTTCTCGACTGATTGCTCAAAAAAGAAGTTGGCATCAACCGCATTCAAGAACACCATTAGGTTTATCAACTTTCGCAAGATAAAAACTGCTTCAGAGCAGCCACTGTCATACATAGTCTTCAAAAGAAAAAGAATCACTACTTCAGAATGACAAATAAGCGAGTACATTTTCTTCAATAGTTTCTCATCAGAAAGATCTTGCAGGGTCTGCTTCTTCTGTCAATGTCTCCGTGTTTTTCTATCTGAGGCAAGGTGCTCATCTATTCCAGGTTCTCGCATATCGGCTTTGATTCTGTTTATTCACCTCATTTGGTCTACCTTTAAATCTTTTCCGTGGTGTCTAGCCGCCAGGGCTAATCTTATGATGTAAGTTTCCTACTTTCTGCACACAGGTCTTACCACTGTAATCTCTTCTGACGAAATCTAGGCAATTGGAGCTACTTTCATTAGGCAAAGCATAGTGTCACTGCAGTTGCGGTCACTGTGACTTCTAAAGTCCATCGTAGCATCCTTGTCTCAAGACACTGAGCTTGCGCTCCTCGTTCCGCGAATACGGCCAGCCTCACTGCCATACAGTGCTAACGGGAAATGATCCGGTGCAGTTGAGCCTTAGCACTGGCACACCCGTTAAGGACTCTCCTTCTCATTCACGCTAAGTTGAAAGGACTCCTTTCTCTAGGATGTGACTGCCTGAGCACTTGCAGATGTTGTCTTCTTTAGCTCTTCGCAATTGATATTATCTGGAGTTTGTTTCCCCACCTCCAATGTTCTGTCTTTCTGGTGTTGAGTTTCAAGTTATACAAATATAATCTGTTTTCCAGTTTCGTACACCTTCTTGTGGACACCTTCCCAACACTTGCTATCAAGACCACATCATCTGCATACAGAAGTGTCCAAGGAAATTTACGTTTTGTTTCAAACGCGGCGTTCATAACACTGATAAGGAGCAAAGGAGAAAAAAATGAACCTTGGTGTACTCCAATTTTCCGGTACTTTTTTCGACTGCTCTGCAGCTATTTGTGAGTGCTTTGAAGCGTTGTGATAAATCTTTTATCCATAACGTACTCCTCTGTACCATGCGTTACCGCAGAAGTCACTAGATGACTTAATGGGGCACCTTATCGAAGGCTCGAGTCAGGAAAGCTGCATGCAATTTCTTCTGCTTCTCTCTACATTCCTGCGTCACTATTCGAGCAAAGTGGATATCGTCGATTATGGCAACTCCTCTTATGAAACCGCACCCGGTGACATCTCTAGACATTGTGAAACCGCATTTCGTTATTCGCTCGAAGTTCTTTGAACTGTGCTTCATTACGGATTGGTCGGTAAGTAGCTTAGTCTAATACACTTTCTTTGACATGTTTGACAATTCCAGCATGTTATACAACGAGTTTTCGTTAATACGAATGAGTATCATTTAAGTTTTCTCATTCCTACTCTCCTTATTCACCCCCGTTACGCAAAATCTTGCGATATTTGCCGATGTGGTTATGAATAGCGGTCACGCTCATCACAACCGATCACCACAGCTCTCAGCGCTGACGGATTCGCAGACAAGTGTTTTCGATGGCTCAGAACCCGATTTAATTGGGATATTGACAGATGAACGATGCTCCGAGGCGACGTCTTAAACTGCTATGATAGCCCCCTCCCCCCTTGGAAGAATTCGGTAGCGAAGGTTTCAAATGTATGTTGCGAAATAACACAAGATAATTGTTTTCATGCGCGAGTAACAAAGTGTTTTGTAAATACTGAACCATCAAAAGCGATTCTAGAATTCTTCCAAGAATGTGGGTTACACCATTTCTGCTTTTCAAATGTCTGTTCGAGCTTGCAAAAACCTCGACTAAGACGAAAAAGAATCTTCAGCGTCCCTTGAATTATTTCTGCTACAGCTGTTGGAAGGGCAAGGAAGAAAAGGTTGCAGCTATTTATCACCTAGCAATGCCGAATGTTTGAGTAAACAGTGCGAACAAGATGGATCTCTTTGGTATGAGGAAGTGCTCAGGAGTGTTAGTTGTTCTATAGTAAATCTAGCATAAAAAAGGATATCAACTGTCTCAACGCTGGGAAGGATTTTAGTAAAGTTTGGCTATTTGTAAATAACAATCGTAAAGTCATTTTTAGCAACAAAAGTGAAAAAATCACCAAGAAATAAAGAAAATCTTGCTCTGCAACGAATTTGGATAGCGCATTTTTTTCTGACGTAAGTACATCCTTGTTTTTTTCATTTTGGGAGATTTAGAAATGATACAGAAAAAGGGAAAATTTTTGATTACTTAATTTTCAACAAAACTGGAAAATCCAAAAGGCTTGTAAGAGCAGGGAGTGTAAGAGTAAATACGATAAATACTTACCGACGAGAAGCTACCTTGATGTTGATAGATAAGAAATAGGTAGAAAAAAGAAAATATTGGTAGAGCAATTAATAAGCATACAACTTGTTCGGTCGGTACATGTTGTTTCTGTAATAAAGAAAAGTTTTTTTTTACATTTTTCAGGTTCGAAAGAGTATTAAAAATTACGGCAAAGCACAAAAATATCTAAAAACCAGAAAAGACTTGCCATCAACGCCATTTGTATGGCTTGTATATCCTTTGATGATATACTAGAACGTCGTAAGCTTCCTGAAGAACCGCCGAAGCTCGTGCGTCTCAATATTCTTTGCTGCATTGCGTGTAAATGAAAAAGTGGAGTAAAAACCCTGAACAGATGGTTGTTAAGGAGTCGGCGAAAAAAAAGTACCAAAAAAAGCGAACAGTTGCTAACAGTTAAGAGTATATTTCATTGCACAGGCACGACGAGAAGATGAGAGATATTATATGCTTTGCAGAATCTGCAAAGCTAGAGTCGATAGAGGGTGTTCACATGTGCGCAAACATACACCCGCATCTTCACGGGCGCCAAGACGGCTTTTTTGTCCTTTGGGAAAGTGAACACCCGCTGTGTCATTTGTTCCGCCTGGATTGAATTTCTCTAGCCAAGAGCACATGCGCTGACGATGTCATTTTGACAAAAAGACTCGACAATGCTTGAAATTTGCTTTTCGCTTTAGAATTCGAATCGTACTTTTTGCCATCTTTTCTCAACACTTCCCCTTTTTTGCACCTATTATACTTTCTCACCAGTCTGACAAGGAAAGAAAAGATAGTCGAAGTGGCCTTTTGATATGAGATGGATACTACCTTGAAATGTAGAAAACGCTAATTTCATTCCGCTACCTTCCTTGTCTGCTGCGGGTTCCTAAGCGAAAAGTTTAGAAGTTTTTATTAGTAAATTTGCATGTGCAGCTATGACAAAATCAGTCGTATTTTTCTACGACCCGAATAATTTTCGCATTACTCTGTGCAATAAATATTAATAATCTAAAGATATCCTGACTCTGCCACATCGGAACGCTAGGAAAAGTTAACGACTGATTCTAAACTGATCGTTCTGAATTTTTTTGCCCATAAAAACATTCCTAACTGCTTGCTCAGAGACCCGCGCAGATAAGAAAGGTGTATCTGGAATTAGCGTTTTATACTCTTTGTGTCAGTATAATCTTATACAAAAGGCCACTTCGATTAATCTTACTTCCCTTGTGAGAAAAATGAATAAACAAACCGTTGCAGCAACTGTAGTAAGGCCCGCTAGTCTAACACATTATTCAGATTATGCAATTAAACCGTAAAAAATATAGTTTTTCTTGTTATAGGTTACAGTTTGCGCCATGAGGTTCTTCTCATGGGTATCACACTGCAGCGTAAGATGCGAAGCGGTGGGTAGAGGCCTCCGCGCTGCGCAGGGAGAGCAACGCTGCTGCGTCCACCGAAGATAGTTCATGGCTGGAAGAGGCGCAGAGAAAGCAAGCGACAAGAGTGCACGAGAAAGAAGGATTAACGCGTAGTACACACTCTGCGCACTCTCCGCGTCCTGCGGAGAGTGCGCAGAGTGTGTACTACGCGTAGTCTATACCTGCTCGTATAGATCGCAAGTGAAAATTATTTATCAAAGGCAATGACTCGGCAAAACTAAATATCGCGAAATCTTGATATGGAAGATTGCTTGCATCCCAAACATCAGAACAGAGCAAGTCCGAGAGCACTAAATGCTGCCCCTAGAAAACTGCCCCCCCCCCCATGCGCGCAAGCCAGTCTTACACGCGCTCGGAGAAGCTGCGGTCCCCTTACCACAGTCAGAGGCGGCATGCCGCAATGCTATAAACATGAGGTTCCCGCAATGACTCTACGTCTCTAGCCATAGCACGAAGTGGTCCAGTCCAAATTTAAAATGAGAGCCCTCAGAAAATGCTGATTTTCGACATTTTCGTGCTCTTCAAGGTGTGTTTTCGAAATCAGCGCGTCGGATTACCCCAGATAAGCGAAGAAAAACTTCAGGTTTAGGACTCGCCTAGCCACTGCCTTTAAAAACAAGGCACTCGAGCATAGAACTACTACAAGCTAAACCCATCATCAATTTATCTGAGCTACTCCTAGAATGCTTACTTTTCTTTGTAGAAGACGACAGCTTACCGGGCTTTTCAATTGCCAGCGAGGAGGCTTTATCAATCTAAGGTAGTACAGCCTCTTCTCTCAGGTCCTTCTTATGAATTCATTTCTCAAAACTTAAGGATAAACAGCGACGTCTTCAATACGCCATGAGAATGCGTACTGCTATGTTACTAGATAAATCATGGATCGAGGATTTGCTGACCCTACCTATTGGAAGAACGCACATTACGACCATTGAAAGCCTAATTCACTTGCAAAAGAAAATTAGACCATGTCGCGATACGTTTACGCTGCTCATGATGACTTCATTCACAAAGGCGTTCAGCAGCTAAGGAGCACAGACTTGGAGTCGACGCTTTATGCTGTATTCAAAAGTATGAAAGTTGTTTGAAACTGTCCATTGGCTTTCAAATATTCACTTGTCAACGGCTGAATGCCCACACCGTAGCGGTCTAGGCATAGATTCTCACAACGACGCTGCGTCTCAGAGTTGGCGGAAACTCTTCCCCTCAATCAGGATCCTAAGAAAGGCTTTGGAAAAAGCCTAACTTCCTTTTTCGTACTCGCGGCTCAAAAACACGGTTTTTTTAGACAACGAATCCAACATGGCAATGTTGACTGCCGAAAACTTAAACCCATTCTGCTGCGATTCTACTGCAATGTTGAAGTGGGCGCCATCAGCGAGGCCATCATGCCGAAGAAGAGACACAACGCCAGACTGGAGGCGAGAAATGCACTCAGAAATTACGAAGCTTATGTCCTAACAGAAGTTTGGTCAACCCGTTTCTCGCTTGAACGGTAGAGTGCGCATGTCGCCGTAGTTTCGACGATAAGGTCCTACAGCGACCAGTTTTTCGAGTGAATTTTCGGGTTCAGCGTAGCAGATAAAGGCGACGCTCGGCAAGTTTTCTGTATTGACTTCTTCCAGTTCGTGAGACTTCTAGCGTGCTGCATCGAATACGAGCTTTAGCTAACGTGACAAGACCAAATAAGGAGTTTTTGCGTCAAAGAAAAGAAGTTCGGACAAAACAAATGGGAACCACGATGGTCTTGGCAAGATCTTGCAAATTGTAATTTTTGCACAGACCATCTCGAATTATGCTCAAATCGCGATCCTGCACAGAATAGGTAAGCGAGTAGTTCAAATGCTGTCAAACTGAGGCTCGCTTATGGATTTTAAATAGGTTTTTTTTGCGCGAGTAGGACAAAGAACCTGATGAAAACTGGTCAGGAAATCAGCGGGTGCTGATCTACTAGGACACAGCCCTTAAAGGCAGCGTCCAGGCAAGTCTGGACCTATGGGGATTTTACGTGGAAAGTACTTTTGGGGCCCTAATTAAGGGGCATATGTCAAGATGAACGATAGCTGGTACCAGTGGCGCGCGGGGTCATGAACTGGCAATAACGTGTTCGCTCGAAGCTCCGCCCTACTGCGGCGGACGAGTTTCTCGGACGATACCGTCAAGGAAAAATTAGTTTTGATAGTGAGATATAAGCTTATTGCAAGCTTGGGTGAAGCTTGACTATTTACAGAATCTTGTTTTGATTTTTTGTTCCTTTTTTTTGGCAATCAATGAACTGCTGATTTGTTGGTCGTGAAATTCGAGAGATTTGCTGTTACCTATGAATGACCGAGTGACTCCTGGATATCCAACTTTGAAGTGTGAAATCAATCTAGAACACCTCAGGCATGATTGTCTGAGTGACCTCACATCTTACGACTAGCTCACACGCAATTTCGATTGAGTTACAGATCGATTTATATTGAGGATTGCCGTTTTTGGAAGCAAAATAAAAGAATTTTGATATTTAAAGCAGATTCGAAAATTCATAAGTGCAGTATGATTTTCCTGAAATCTGAGAAAATTTATGCGATAAGACCGCATATTTGCAAAACGAGTTAGTTTACTTGAAACAAAAATCGCCTATAATGCTTATTTTGAATTCTCGTCGCAAAGAATTTTGTTTTTAGCTATGATTAGGTTTTTAAAACTTACTTTTCCGATGAAAGAGATAATGACGTCGGTCATTTCAGCAATAATAATAGTATTTCTCGATAAGCTGAATTCTTTTTGAACTAAACTTGAGAGTGCACAACAAAGTATATTCAAAATGGTAACAGACGTGAATACAGAAAAACTTCTCCAAGCATTTTCGAAACAATTTCCTCATACCTGCAATGAAAAATCATTTTGGACAAGCCTGCTAGGAACAACTAATTGAAATACATTGGAAAGAGCTTGCGAACTAATTTAATAATGAAAAATGATCTAAAAACTGATTTTCAATTTAACTAAAATTTTGAAATCTACTGTTATCCAAATTGCAACCAACTGAAGAAGCATGAACGAATTTTTTTTCCAATAGCTGCCGCATTCCTAGGCTAATTAACAAGTGGGCGGAGCGATCAGCGCACCGCGTACGGTACCCAGCTGGCGGCTGGCCCAAGCTATCGTTCATCTTGACTGCCACCCCTAACTAAGCCACTGCCCAACCGGCAGCTCAGGTAGTGCCCTAACACCTGAGATATTCCCCTCGAAACTGGACCCCACCGTGTTTCGCATGGATTCATGACGCAAAGCGTGGATCCTGGCGCGAAACTACCATGAATCCATGCGAATACGTTCGCGGGGGCCAGTTTCGAGGAGAATATCTCAGCCATTAGAGCACTACCTGAGCTGCCGCTTGGGCAGTGCCTTAGTTAGGGCCCCAAAAGTACTTTCCACGTGAAAGCCCCATAGGTCCAGATCTGCCTGGACGCTGCCTTTAAGGCAAGGTATGCGGAAGCCACAAATGGGTTTTCGTCTCTACGCGCCTCTCACACCCTCACCCTACATTATGGCGAATTGAGGGAAGTTGGTGTACCAGACAAATTACGTGTATCACAAACAAAGGCGCATATCATATCAGGCTTCTATATCGAAAACCACATCCTTAAGCGAAGCGGAAATGGAGACTGGTTTCCACTTATATCAGATGATAGACCGAACCCAAGGTTATCTTAAGGATATAGTCAGACATGTCCACTGGATGGAGCTTAAAGAGTAACCGACATTCCAGCAAGAAGACCGTGGACGTTGCGAAATGTTTACAGTACAGTTCGCAACATCTAACATCTGTCTGACGGTTGTTTCAACAGTGTATCAGGTGGTCTTATGAGTTTGTAGAGTTTTCATTATCGTTCTCATTTCTTTGAGGAGCGGTCGATTTGC